TATATTCACTTCATACTTTAATATAGTCATTTTCACTTGATACTCTAATATAGTCCTCTTTCTGCATTCAAAACTAAGGAAAGCTGTACAATTTGACATGATAATGAGGAAAAAAGGCCTCCGACAATGCAGATCATTTTGTGATCATATCAATTTAAAGATGGGGGTCAAGGCTTAATATTTGGGAGCATAGTGTCCCTTGCCCCCTTTCAGGAGCCCCACTGGATTAGCTTTGATCTGAAAGCTTGTTAGCTGGCTGTCCATCTCATAATGTACACATAGAAACTAGCTGTCAATAGGAATATCAATCAGAAGAATTATAATTTCATGCAAAAATCTGTCACAAAAAGAGGTTGCACATTTAAATTCAGGTGTTGTTATGGCAACGTCAGTGGCCAAACAGCCACATTTACTGCTGCAAATACGTTCAAACATGCTGTTGACACGTAAAGCAGTGGCAACTATGCCACCATTTCAGCTGACTTTTCCTCAGAAATACCGTCACATAACATCCATATATTTCAGTGCTAGGTTGATGCTTAGCTAAGCTAACTATGAAACACTTTAACTGACAGGACTCCGGATCAACTGTGTAATGTAAGGTAGCTTCTAGCTTCATGTCGAACACTGACAGTAAGTCAACATTTCCCAGAGAGCTTTCTTTGAAATCACCAGGTAACGCTAAAAAACACAACATTTAGATGTTATGACAAAGTGTTTATTTAATATATCTGGCTAGCTATAGCTACTTGCTAACGGTTTAGCTTACCCCCGCGATTCAAAGTAACGTCAACGTAGCTATAATTTATGCTTTGCTTACATGTTGACATAACTTGTAAGTTTACTGACATTTACATACCTTGTTCACCTGGCTCAGGTGGTGGCTCTAGGGGTTGTTGTGTGAGCCACCATTTGAGAATTGCCGTATTTTTTATTTAAAAAATGTCTAATGTCCATCTTCAGAAACTCCGCGTCCGCGGCTGAAAGTTTAAAGTTTAAACACTGTCACAGAGGAGAGGTCAGCCAATAAAACACGTTTATTTCCATGCAACTCTCGGATTGGTCTGGTGGTTGCCTCTGTTGCATTCACTGAACACGGGAAATTACAATTCTGCCATCCTCTAGGTAAAGTACGGTTAATGTATTATATTATTGAGGGAGAATTTGTCCGGGGCTAAAGAAAAAACATCCGGGGCTAAAGCCCCGGATGCCTACCCCAGGCGACGCCCATGTGCTTTACAACAACAGGGTTCAGGGGGAGTGGCTGTACCCGTAGGATAGAAAAGGGGGAAGTAGTTATGTCTGACTCAGAGGTCGTGCGGCTGTGGCGAAGAACGTGTTGCCCACATTCTGTTACTGAGTTTAGGCTAGTTAGCTAGCAGTTTTATTGTTTTGGGTGCAATCATTTTTGCCTCCACTTGCTGTTCAAATAAATGTTGAAAGAAAAAGTTAATCTGTTTACAGTTCTGTTTTATATGGGTGTTGAAGAAGAAGAAGAAGAAGAGACTAAGAAGAAGAAGCGACAGAAGAAGAAGACGAAGCAGAAGAAAAGATCCGCGGCATACGACTCCTCATCACCCTCCATCCAATAAGAAGAGAAGAGAAGGAAGAGAAGAAGAAGAAATCCAATCCAATCCAATCCATTTATTTTATAGCACATTTAAACACAAAGAGTTGAACAAAGTGCTGTACATCAACAACTCACTGTCTAAAACATAGCATAAATACAATTAAAAACAGACAGGACATGAAACAAATGTAATACGAGACAATGAAACCAGATCAGAATCCACCGCCTGAAAACCTCTTCCTATATGACTTAAAAACAATACACAAAACACTCGTAAGGTACTAAAAAAATAAAAAAATAGAAATAAAAACCACCATTTTACAGCACAAGTTGTCACCTGGGTCCTGCTACAGTTACTAAGAGCCCAAGGAAAAAATGGGTTTTTAAGCGAGATTTAAAAACAGGCAGAGTTGGAGCAAGTCTAACCTGGAGGGGCAATTCGTTCCATACTTTTGGAGCTGCAACAGCAAAGGCTCTGTCTCCTCGCTGCTTTAGCCTCGATGTTGGGACTACCAGAAGGAGTCTGTCAGCAGACCTCAGTGACCATGTGGGTGTGTATGGTTTTAAAAGATCTGCCAGGTACGGTGGGGCTAAACCGTTCAGGGCCTTGTATGCGAACAGCAACATTTTAAACTGTATTCTAAAATGGACTGGTAGCCAGTGTAAAGAGGCGAGTACAGGCGTAATATGTTCACGCCTGCCTGTCCTTGTAAGGAGGCGTGCAGCAGCATTCTGGACCAGCTGTAGGCGAAGAAGAAGAAGAAGAAGAAGAAGAAGAAGAAGAAGAAGAAGAAGAAGAAGAAGAAGAAGAAGAAGAAGAAGAAGAAGAAGAAGAAGAAGAAGAAGAAGAAGAAGAAGAAGAAGAAGAAGAAGAAGAAGAAGAAGAAGAAGAAGAAGAAGAAGAAGAAGAAACCCTCTTTAATGGTCACACATGCAGAGCACACAGCACACACAGTGAAATGTGTTCTCTGCTTTTAACCCATCCTAGTACCAGGAGTCTAGTACTAGGAGCAGTGGGCAGCTATTGTACGGCGCCCACGGAGCAATGGGAGTGAGGGGGGAAGGGGGATGTCCGGTGCCTTGCTCAAGGGCACCACGGCAGGAGGTGAACTGGGACCTCTCCAAGTAGAAGTCCACACTCCAATTAGGTCTGGTCGGGGACTTGAACCGGCGACCCTACGGCTCACAGTCCAAGCCCCTACTGACTGCCATAGATTTAGTCCCTAATTTTACTCTCAAAATGGACCAGATTGATGCATTTAACTTCAACATTTAAACAAAAATCTTCCCGGGGGAGCTTGCCCCCAGACCCCCCTAGAAGAGGTGAGGTCCACCACCTGCCCACACCCCCTGTTAAATTGTCTCACCCACATTGAGGATGCTTCCTACGCACATGTTTTATTCCATGTGTCAAGTCAGGCAAATTGGGTCAAAAATGTTATTGCATCAATGATCTGTTAACATTAAAATCACTAAATATATGCTGTAACTATTTTGCTCTAGGCAACTCAAGGGCTCAGGTAATGTGATTACTACATGAATAATTGTCCAAAATAACATAAAATGCATAGGGTTTTATGTTAATTAACATACTTTCGTCGCCGGCCGGCCGATACATGCCGCGCATTAAGTGGGCCTGTCTGTCAATTAATCCACGGGCCACTTTTCCCCCCCAGTCCGCCCCTGCTTTAAACTGTCTACAGGGGAAACAAAAGGCTGAGTCTGCTTAACGAATATTCAAGCCATGGTCTGTTGTGTATGCAGCGGCAAAAGTGCGGTTCTTTCCTGAAAACAATCTCCCTGGATAACGATCCAGCTTCACCTGCTTGGGTTTATTAACCCCAAGATCATCGCTAACTCAGCCCCGGGGTTTGCCGAGGTCAAGCTTGTGACATTAAGGCGTGCTGCTGCAACGGCAGGTGCAGGCAGGGTTGCCAGTAGCTGCATCGGCTGCAGTTCTTTCATCGCTATTTCGTTTTAATAAATCCTTAGACCTTTTAAGCCAATTTTTTATGTCCATTTTGTAATTCAAACAGAAATTGGAGTCTACAGAATGCACAATAAACAAATCCAGAATACGCGGCAGAGTGTGACACTGTGATTGGTCTAAATGTGGACGAATCACAAATCACAACAGACACATGCATTTATTTGACGTAGCCTGCGATTTGTTGTTGTTGTTCTGACATCACATATATCGTAGCATAACAGTTCACAGTTTATTTATAATTAAAAAAATAAAATATATATTTTTTAATTTTTATAAATAATAAAAAACGTGTTTATTGGGGGAGGGCAGGAATGTCAAATGGGAGGGCCTGGCCCTCCCTGGCCCTCCCTGGCACTCCCACGGCACCGGGCATGGTAAGATGTGAGCATGTTCCGAATTGTGTTGGTATGCAGCCTAGGTCTGGTCTGTTTAATAAAGCAAATCTGCCTCTTTTATATTGTGGAATTGATTAAATTAAAGCAGTCTTTAATTGTTTGTCCTAAACATAGCAATATATGCTTTTGAAATGTAACATGTCTTTGAAAAAATAACAGTAGGCCTATACAGTTTATATTGTGTATCACCTTTAGCTTGAAAATACATGTGTTTTTTTAATAAATAGATAGACAGACACTTTATCAATCCCAAATTGGGAAATTATTTAACAGCAGCAGTGTGTTCAGGTATTAAAATATTTAAAGTTGGAATAAAGTATAAACTACACATCACAAGTCTAATGCACAGCAATCCATAATATAAGTCCGATATGTTCATGAAACCCCCCAGGAGACACCAACACTAACGTGGCCGAGTGGACTCCGGAGTTTGCTGCATGAGTTGCACTGTATGATCTGTGGTGTAGTGGGCTGTCACTCAAAAACTGAGTAGCCAATGGGGACACACCCCTGAAAGTCCCGCCCACATGGGAGGTTTGTGTCAAAATCGAAAATAAAAAATGAGGGAGCGCAAAAGAGAAGAGCTGCAGCGAGAGCAAAAGTCTGATCATTGAGAAAGAAGAAACAAGAACTGAAAACAAAAACCTATGTTAAAACAAAGAAAAAAGACTTATAGTTTACATGATTACACAAATGATTTGTTTGCAATTTATAGTTTTATTTTTGCAATTTATTTTATTTTGCTTGACTCAGTTTTTTTTCTTCTTTTAAACTCATAATTTTGCTTTATTCAGAGAAAGTGTAGCTTTATCTTTATGATACAAAACTAATCCCATATGGTAGCAGCTGCAATCAATAACCAATCAATTAAACTAAGACGGAACAGTAGTATCCACTCGACAGGGACTTACATGTTTGTTTGTATTATTATCCTAATCAACAATCATTGAAAGACTGAACATAACCTTCATTTTACTCTAATGTGGTATTCAGCAGGGACTTTATTTTGAAACTTCGGACCGGTAAATTGTGTCTCATTGTGTCTAACTTGTCTCGTGGTCGACAGTGAGCTGAGTTGGTGAACAGTGTGGATCAGAGTCGCTTTGGAGACTAGTGAGCTTTTCATTCAGCTGTCCGGAGGAGAGCTGTGGAGCCAGGGAACATATGATCTGAGAAGGTATAACTACTATTTATTCACACTATGTTCACATCTGCAAAAGTAGCTTTTAGACCTTTTCTCTCCAGGTAATGCCGCTCCGTTCTCCTGACCGCGCAACGTGCATAGCTCACCTGTGCTCATTTCAATTAACCACAACTTCCACTTTTATCCACAAAACATAAAGTGGGGTTGGTATTGATATGTTGTCTTCTATGATTTTTCTCAACATCGGATGGGTGCGTTGTTTGAGCCTGAAACAACCTCTGCAACTATTGTATAGTAGTAATCATTAGTATTGTCAAAAGGCTAATTTTGAGGCATGCCACAGTGTAAAAACTTGGTTCTTAATTCGATAAAATCTTATGATCTACTAGTTTATCATAGCAATTAGAGTTTTTTATATATATATATATATATATATAGCCAGGTGTTTTAATATCGTCATAAACTTACCACAGTGAATTGTAGGTGCCTAAGGGAATATGTAATGCATATTGTAGATATTTTTCTTCAGGTACACTGAGGCAGGGCTAGTCTCACTCTCAACACACTTTATAATCCTAACTCAGTTTTATTACAACAACCTGTCTTAACACTGGCATGCTGAAAATGCCAAGTGATAATTGTCAGTCGTATCAATAAATTATTGAAAATTGCCTGAAATAAAAATGTGAATGCAGAACTTGTTGGAACCAGGGGTTTATTGGTAAATCCGTCGACATTTATTGTGTTTTTACGGCATTGATCCGATCCAGGTGTTAGATCGCTTATATGGTCACAGTTGTGTTGCCTGTTGCACCTTCAATCTTCTGCAGGGACTTTTGTGCTTTATGTGTGATGGAGACACTGTGACAGTGAGATATTTTTATGCACTTAGTATACTAATGTGTTAGAGTCACTACTTTATGTGCCTTATCTTGATGAGCAAGTAGTTTGTTAACGTACAAAAATGGCAAAGAATTGTTTTTCATAATAGATCTTGACATGTGCATCTAAAAGGGAACACTTACAGACTAGCAAAACAGATGTTATTTGGAAAACCAGAAATGTTTGCAGTTACAAAAACTGTAGAAAATTGGTCATCAGTTTGCAAGAGATTTGATGGGAGGGACAGGGTCATAACATCTGTGATGTAAGTGAACATGTCTGTATATCATCAAAGGATGGCTTTACCTACAGATGTATGTCTATTCATATTTTCTTTCTCTACTTTTACAAATCCATACCTGCTAAAATCACATTAGCAGATTGTGCGACAGAGATTTGAATCCTTTCTCACGGTGTTTAAATCCCTTTAGCTTTCTCTGTGCTCCTCTCTCACACCCCCTCACACATTCTCTTTTTCTTCAATTTCTACTACTGAAATCCTTGTGCTTCCTTATTTGACTCACTCTTTCCTTCAAATTATTTTACCTGCGTCTCATCCTCCTGTCCTTTGCCCTTTTTTCTCCTCACTCATCTGTCTTTCTCATACTTGTTTTTACTTCTCCAGGTGTGTCGTGCCCTCCAGTCTGCTGCTTCCAGGATGCATTTCTCAGTCGGACTGAGTCTCTGCCTGCTAGGCTTCGCTCTTGTCTCTCTGTTTCCTCACCCAGCGCGGGGTCAAGGTAAGTACATCCACTAGCCTGCTTTCCACTCTAGGGGCCAACAGGCTCAACAAGGCTAACAGGGGGGTTTAGCACACAGCTAATCAGGACCACACATTGCCAAACAGGGCTAACCCTGGGGTTTCGTAATGGTTTCTCACAGGACAGTGGCACCAATAGCTAGAAACTGGGCTAGCTGACACATAAGCTACCTTAAACGAGGATAACTGGAGTTTTTCATTAAAGGGCTATGCAAGGCTTTATACATTTGTTGCAAGTGCCATATGGGAATAACAGAAATGGCAAACATTGTCAACAGTTTTTTCTCATTAAGACGTTTTAGCGGTTGTCTCAATGAGGTCTTTATCATAAACAGTTTTATTCAACAACAGCAACCAAGGGCTTTAACTTTGAGGCAAAGCAAAGCTTTCTACCATCGAGGTTAACAGGACTTCCTATGGTTTCCCATTATGGTTGCTTAGGGTTTCACCTTTTTGCTGTCGGGGACAACAAGGGCTTTTACATATCAGGACCAGCCTGGTTTCCTCACACACTTAAAGATTTGCCCTTTGTTTCCAGAATGGTGCAACTTGAAATGATCCGAAATGTATACATTTTTATCTTGACAATAAAGACTGATCTAATTGCTCACGCGACAAACCTCAGTTTGGCCCTGTGGTGTAAATGCAGGTATCACCCTTTGCACTCACTGTTTCATTCAGCAGGAAACATTCTTAACTACACTCTGGCGATATTGATGTGCAACTTTGCTCCAAAGACATCATTTTAAATGATCGTTTTTTATTTTAATTAACCTTTCAACGTGCATTTGCCCTCATGTGTCTGTCTCAAAGGGAAAAGCCTCAAGCCAAAATCATAATGATGGGTGGATACGCTGCTTTTCTGTGCACAGTCTTTCATATCTGTAATTGATCAGCACATGTGTATTCTAATTGTCTTGGGAAGTGTTGAAAGGGCATTACAGGAAGATGTCTTTGGTACTAACTCAGGTTACAGATTTGACAAAAAAAACAATTGTTTAATTTTATTTGAAGCAGTTTTTTTCAAATTCACAGCATTATTATTATTTGTGTTTTATATATATATATATATATATATATCTACTTCATTATCTATAACATGAGGATGAAGACAACACGATCTTCATCTATTTATCTTTTTCTCCTTTTTCTTCTGTTGGCAATCCATGTGCTAACATTCTCTCACCCTACTTAACCCAGTTAACTTATTCAGCAATTAACACGTAACCTCCCTCATTACCACAGAGATAGGTATTAGTAGATAGGTATCAACAGTATTGTCATAATTACCATCTCATATGATCCTTTTTCTTAATAAGACTTTTTCTCGAGGACCGCTTATGATTGATATTCTTGTCCCTATTGTTGTGGAATATTTTCCAAGGCCCATAACTTTGACCCAGTTTATCAGTTCAAACTGTCCTGACTGAGCACACGCACCTCGTAACCTTGGCTGCTGTGCTCTCAGTGTTCTGTCTCCCTGTTCCTGCCTGTTGGCTCAGCTGATAGAGGTGTTATGATTCTATGTTCCTGCCTGTTGACGTCAGCTGATAGAGGTGTTATGATTTTATCTTGTTATGCAGCATGTTGATGATGCTCTCAGAACTAGCTAAATACATGGGTCGGAGGTAGAGTTCTTCAGAATTGACGTGGCAACTCTACCGTGCAGTCAGATCGTGGCTGCTGTGACTTGTGATGTGAATTCTCCGGCCGAAACTCCAAATAAACCTCCAGTGTTTGACATCAAAGCTCCTGCTCTACCATGTCTCTTTCCTGAGTCGGTGACTCCCACTGCATTGCTACACAGAAGTTTCCCTTACACCTATATTAGCTGTGCTAAGTGATATTTTCCCTTCTCTTTACAAGACCTGATTGTGGAATTGAGAGGTATTGTATCTGTTTCAATCTTAATGGTTATGTAAGATAATGTGGAAGAAAATAGAACAGATCAAAAGATTTATGTTTTGCTTCAAGAACAATTAAACACTTATGTTACACCCAAACACATTTAGCATCTGCCAACTTTTCAAAGGTTGTTGGCAGTGATGAAGTTAAAACAAGGCTAAATCTGCTCTGTACTGCAGTGAGAGCCACAGCCTGCTGACACAGTGCCATAACCATAACGTCTGTGGATAGGCTGACACTGGGCCATACCATAATACCAGATTGGGGCTTTCAAAAGTCAGCATGCAAGCTTTCAGACAGTGAGGGTTTTACCATGTGTCTGATGCACGGTGACATTGTTTTGTTCTACAAAGTAATCAACTTCAGTATATATCCTACTGGTGAATGTCTTAAGCTTGATTTAAAAATTGCGGTTGCTAACAAGTGGCTAAATGGGATTCCTAAACGTCATCACGCCAACTTCAGTCTTTAACTTAGCGGTGCATGCACAGCGATGAGACTATGACGTAGCCTAATGTAAGCATTTTAAGTCTAGCAATTGTATTGAAACTTAAAAAGAGATAACAATCGTGTTATTGTGCAATTTTTGCAATTGTCTGAAATCAAATGGAAAAGTCCCTTTTGCTCTTTGTCGACGGTGCCCTTTGCGTTGCAAACTTCTTGGTCGGCCTACAAAAGATGTCATCACTGCACCACTGTACTGTAATATGTATGTTTTGTATCGTTTTTCTGGCATGGAATACTTGACATAATTAAAATTCTATTTTAAATCATCCTTTTGTCATAACGAATGCTGTTGATATATTGTGATTTTAAAAAGGTGTCTATTATCATCTGGCTGGGGACAACAGCTAGAAATTAGCCATGTTGGCTAAAGCTGCCCCATTTACTGTTTTTTGTGACGGTTGATCAATGGGGACTGTCCATGACACTATAAACAAATAAACTAAACAATAGTTTCAACTGTCAATATTAGATTGACATTTGTGTTACAGTGCAACATTAGGGTTCTTGGATACTATGAAAGTAAGCCCTTTTTTGCTTAGTGTGGTTTTTGTGGTCGGCACCCCTTGCTCTCTGAAAAAGATTTATAATTTCCTGTAGCCCCAGGTGACATTTCTTTTTGTTTTCGTCAAACCAACACTCCAAAACGTAAAGATTATTTTGTATCACCTAAGACCAATATAAGCATTAAATACCCCCAATTGAGACACTGCTGAAACCAGCAAGTATTTGGTTTTATTCTTTAAAAAATGACCTTAGCAACTGTAAAATATTTTAGTTTTTTTAGGTAGAACGACTATTAAATAATTGACCAATCATTTCAGTTCAAAGTGAAATCCTCAAAGAGATGTTTACCAGTTAGTCTGCAATAATTGGCCCAGTAAAAGCACAGCCTGGCATTTCAGGCTCGATAACAAAAAGGACACTTGCTAGTTGTTGTCCAGAGTTTGAACTGAAAGCCAGCACAGCATTCCTCAGTGGAGAGGCCATAGTGTGCTAGCCTCGGCTACACCAGTGACCCAGGAAGAGCTGAGGAGTTACGCTCAGCTTCAGCTTCCACTGAGAAACTCCTTTGCTCTGTGACTTTCTGCGAGTTAGATCAAGTGAAAATTATTTCAGCAAATAAAATGGAACTTGAAAAGCAGGCAGATAAATGGACTTCCTGCTGGTCTATTAACAAGAGCCCAGAGATGTGAAAGAGATAAACGTTCTACTTTATTTTGGCGTTTAACCAAGTGTCCATGTGCTATATAGAAAGGTTCTTAAGGCTATCATTAAATAATGACTTAATGTCCTAGATTACCCTCTTACCCAACACCTGTCGAGAAATCCTGATTTACTGTAAAAGGTTCAAGGTCAAAGAATGAATTTGGTGGCTCAGGCTTCGTCGAGGCTTCTCATGTTTCCTTGCCTGCAGAAATAATAGAAAAGTATCTACAGGTTTCTGTAGCCTCAAGGGAAACGGGCAAGAAGAATGTGGGTAAATATCACTGTAGGTTTTACTTTTACAGTGCGTTTCATTCAGAAAAAACATTCCAGTGAAGATAATCAGATTTTTCGGCCACTTTAGCGAAATCGACAACAAATGACATAGAAATATATACATTTTGTGGCTAGAATGACTACAAAAGATATACTGTTCTGTGGAATTAAATGTTGTAATGCTCTGTGTAGCATCTTTATTTGGCAATGACAACATGTAATTACATTAAAAAGTATTTCAGTAAAGACATTACACTTCAAAGCTTCCTACTTGCAAACACGAGTTCGACCATTTGATATCCTTCACTCTGTTGCGTCCCTTCTACCCATAATGTTCCCTGGATTCTCCTGTTCATCAATCAATCAATCAATCAATCAATCAATCAATCAATGTTTATTTATATAGCCCAATATCTCAAATGTTACATTTGTCTCAGTGGACTTCACAGTTTGTACAGAATATCAGTATGACAATACGACACCCTCTGTCCTTAGTAGGGTTGGGTATCGTTTGAATTTCCACGATTCTGATTCCGATTCCGATTCTACTTTTCGATTCCGGTTCTTAACGGTTCTCAATTCCGATTCTTAGAGGGGCAGGGTAAAAAAAATGATGCATGCTTCTTCCACCAAAAAAATTACATTTATTCGAGAAACTTTTACACAGATTAGTTTACAGTAATATTCACATTAATCAGTCTAATAATAATAATAATTTCAATTTATATAGCGCCTTTCACGAAACCCAAGGACGCTTTACAATGGGAAGTCTGTTTATATACACTACTATGTAACTGTAACCTGAGAACCACTGAAACAGTCCAACTTTTAAAGGAACCCCCCCCCCATTTAAAAACAGTTCAAGCATATCTGCCTTCTCAGGCATACCGGGAAGAAATGTTTGAACATTTTAAAGTAAAATGCTTCAATCTGGTGCACTTTAAGCAGAATTACTAGAGACTAGATCTAGAGGGGTACAACTCTAAACACCCATATGAAAAAGATCGGTTTACATTTTAATAATCAAATAAGTATGTGAACATAACCAGTAACCTACCATAGCCAATAACAAATACATGTAACGTATTTTATTTTTGTTGTTCATTCATATCTTATTTTACTTTTTTATTTATGCATAGTTTTGTATCTTTCCAGTTTAAAACGATATGTCTGGTTTACTGTCCTATAGTATACATTGGAATGATTTCAAACCTGTTTTATCCCAATAATTATAAAGGAGTGCCTTGGAAATATGGGTTTACATAAATTGTGATCAAAACGTTTGAGACCCACTGAGATAACTATCTAAACACTCAGAGTCCTTTACCTCACTGAGCTGTAGTTATCAGCCTCTCAGTCTGACTGGAGAGGACTCTCCCTCCACATCATTGTAGAAACATCTTCTTCTTATATCCGTTAGAGCAGCTAGCACCAGATGCTAATAACAACAGCGCTGGTACCGGTGCACCCTCCCTTTCTCCCTCGCTCGCTCCCACACTCACTCGCACTTTGGCTGTGAGCTGCGGGTGCCAGATAAGCCAACATCCCCCATTTTCATCACTTACAGCGCCCATCGTACAGGGCAAATGGAAAGTGTAACCGGGATGAAAAGGGTGTTACATTTACTTAATTATGAATGTTGTTACATCAAGGCCGAAAATTAGGATGAGCACCAACGGTCAAAACATTTTTTTTCCCTCCCAGAGCTGTCAGCGCAGCGCCTCCACAGATCTGGCGCCCTAGGCGAACATCTATAACGCCAGTGCTACGGGCCGGCCCTGGTCCCAGGTTACGCTGTAGGAAGTGTAGGTACAACCATCATGGATGTATAATAAGAGACAACCATAGATATAAATATAAACACGTGTTTATATATATCTATGGGTACAACGCTACATTTCCCGCCCCGCTGCAGTCATACAGTAGGCTACGGAGAGCGGCGAGAAACATTTCCTCAGGCATCGAAAAGCGGAACCGAAATTCACATTTCTAAATGATGCCGTTGGAATCGAAATGTTGGAACCGGTTCCGAACCGGAACAGGTTCTCGGTATCCAACCCTAGTCCTTAGACCCTCACATCATACAAGGAAAAACTTTTCTCATAAATAATTGAAAACACACAAAAGTCTGTGCGTCTGACTTTCCGCACAAATCCTGCTGGGTGTTACGGACACCTCTCCAACTCTCGGCAGGAATCGGCTCTGCTGTTTGCACACGATTCTCCATAAAAAATAGATGAGATTTAAGTTCTCATCTCTACAGCCTGGGCCTTTTGTCTTCTCCCGGCTGTTTGCTCAGAATCTAATACTTGTCTCTGTGTGAGAATACAATCTCCAATATCCATGGCTTTCTGTGAGTGTGTGTGTGTGTGTGTGTGTGTGTATGTATGGTGCTGCAGAGGAACCGGCAGGTTTTTTAAAAGGTGTGAGGAAAAAACAACCACATCGATGGATGTTCATGTGCACACACCAGGAGATAGTTTCCTCCCGTTGCGGTCTAACATGCATAATTCATAGTACAGACAACACACGGTAACACACAATCAACACATTTCAACTAGACTACAAAGAGAGGTGCAAAATCTGCTTCTCAAACCATTTGGGATTTGAGCAGCTCTCTCCAGAAGAGAGAATGTCCTTTGTTTCCGAGACAGAGAGCTAAAGCCTGAGCCGAAATCCCATGCAGCCCGCATTCTCATTCCCAGGTTGGTGCGACCATCGGTACAGTATTCTTTACATGTGTTTGTATATACAAATATTGCCTGCTCTGGAATGCGCCGGCTTCACGTTCTCTCCATTGAAATCAGGATTATCCTCCCCCCTGCTGAACTCAAGTTTCTTTGCATACCTACATGAGTAGAATTCTGCAGATAATGCCACAAAAAAAGGGCGGTTCACCCAAAACGCTGCAGAGGTGTTTGATGATAGGTCTTATCAGCTTGTCTAAATCCTCTATTGTGGAGAAAGCTGCAGGAGGTGGATACATCAGTTCAGAACAAGCTACAGGAAACAGCCCCTTTATCTTCAGTTTCGTGTCGTTTGAAACAAAGCTGTATTTATACATTAGGAGGAACATTACAGACAACTAATCTGTTCAAACATCCACACACTATGTTACCATGTGTCATGTTGAGAGACATCTTATATGCATTTAGTCACAGTCGTACAGCAGTAGAGTAGTGCAGGAATGAGTGCTAAAACTCGGAAATGAACAAAATACACATAACAGCAAATATATACATATCAATAAATATAAATGTTGTTAATCTGTGGAGATTATCTTTCTAAACAAAACGTGTAAGTATAATTTTTGTTATCATGTACATTTGTGTAAATATTTCGAAAACAAGGAAAATCTCATTTGGAGGGACCCATTTTTTAAAGGATTGAGATGAGCAAAAAACACATGTTCTTCTTACTGCACCACTCCATACAAGTTCCTTCCAAAAAGTCAGTTTTAGTCAATATGTCTTTTTCTTTTTCGTTTTGGGTGAACCATCCTTCTCTTATTTGTTGTGCATGAGAGCATCAGAGCTGTATTTAAAGAAGTCGGCGGCAGCAGATTGCTCACCTCAAAATGAGGACACAAACAAAGGAACTAGTTTATGGGTTTCATGTTTTAATTTACATCCCCGGGCTTTTTTTATATAGTTACCAAATTAGATTGGGGAGTGTGTGGCTTCTACTGTAGGTACATGATTATGATCTGGGATTTGGCTCTGCCGGTGTGAGATGGGGTTTTGCGGGTGTCAACCATGGAAATGTGTTTTGGCATTGCAGTGCTTTACAATGGCTCTTTCCCAGTGTGTTAACCTGTGTCTTAACGTGAACACGCAACAATACTGCTTAGTGAAATGTAATGCCACTCCCGAGCACAATGACTAAAGTTCCTCTAGTGCTGTTGCCTTTTCTGAGGGTTTATACACAGGTGGAGGCCATTGTAAAGTGTATTTGGATAGTGTGCAGCTCAGTGGATCCAGTCACTAAACACTCCTGCTGAGGACAGGAGAGGAATAGTAAACAGATGCTATTCCAGTGCCTTTCCCTTTGGTGCCCTTTGTTCTTTTTCTCCTTGCAGTTAAAAGGAAGTCACATTCCCTCCTTTTTCTCATCCTCATCTTACCCCTGATGACAATTTCAAAGCACAGAGACGCAAAAAAAAAAAAGAAATGGAAGAAAATGAGATCAGGACAGGGAGGGAAAGACGGACGAGGAGACGGAGATGAAGAGCGAAAATGAAAATAAGGAAAGGATACAGAGAGAAAGGTGGGGGGTAGGCCTCTAGGCGGCTGGCAAGGCCAACAACTAATCAGGATGAGAGGCAGGGGCGTCGCTTTGATGCAGCCGGTAAGTGGAACACAGAAGAAGACCTGTCGTATCCCCACAGAGACAAGTGCAGTAAGGGCTCGTCAATAGATGAGGAAGATGAGGAGGAGGAGGAGGAGGAGGAGGATGGGACTATGCTTTTTAATGTGACATCTGTGCAAGCTAATCTCTCTGATGTGTATCCTCCCGCTTGGATGAGATACAGTTTATCCTTATTTTTTTCCCTTTTTCTAACAGTTTACAAATCCAGATGGAGCGCTTGCCTCTATGCTGCCATAACTCTGGAGGGAGTTCAATCTAACTTAACTCAGTCACAGTTGTGTGTTTTGCTCAACGGGTGAGAGAGCGCGTGAGGTAAAACAGAAGGAGTGCGGATTCTGTGAAACCTGCAGATCTGTAAAACCTCATGAGCAGTGATGCTCTAAAGGATCAATGGACATTTACTTTTAAACACAACATCTGTTCAGAGGAGCAGAACATCAGAGTTGTATCTTTTGGAAATTATAAACCAAAGCCGTTTCTTTAAAATGATCTTTCTACTACTTGACTGACAAAATTGAACTCCATCCATTGTTATGGATGTAATCCACTAATACGCTCTGATGACAGTAGTTTTTCTAATAATGAGAGAAAAGTATTTGTGGTATGGACTGTGCATGACATGGATCTTTAATTAATTCATACATCATTCAAATATTTGCAGTATTTTTAATGACACTTAAAGTGTAAAGTTGTTTATTTTGAGTTTTTTTTTCTCTGTACAGTTTCATCGCCACGGAGATTTCGTGCCAAAATCCAGAGTCCCACCAAGCTGCATGTGTCGTGGAAAGAGCCTAAAGGACAGTTTGACAGCTACAAGCTCCTTTACACCACAGAGCCAGGTAAGATCCATCATTGACCTGGAGAGTAGTCTTAACAAAAGATGGGGTCTGTTCATGTGTATCAAACTGCATACTTCTGTACTTAAATGGGCTATTTTGAGTGTGTCCCAATGCAAAGCTTGACAACATGTAGTGCACTATAAGTACGCAGATGGTGCACTCATAAAGGTTAAGAAGTTTTCTGTTGAATGCTGGACACTTCTTGCACTCAATTGACCGCCATCTTGGCTACGTCACCGGCCATGATTGCAGGTATTTTTGGTAAACACAGAACTATACAAAATACTATATTGGTAACTTACTACATACGGGGGTCAAAAAGGAGCAACCAGTGATATTATAGGGTTAATTGAGCAGTCTGTATTGATTTGGTACCAAAAAGATTGTTGCTAGCTAGATATCTCACAGAGATTGTCGGTGTGTTGTGTTCACAGTGCACCCAAAGCATTGTACTAGAGGAAATAACCAAATTGAGACACAGCATCTCAGAAAGTTTGCGTCACTGGAATTCTAGCATGAATCTCCTCAAAACAGCGGGAGTTTTGTTTACACTGTGTTGTTGTGAAAGTTCTCTAAAAAAGGAAAATATTTTGTTGTAATTTGGACTCGGAGCCACCTCAGCGTGAGGATGTGTTGAGATTTATAACAGGGATTCAGATGTGGCATGTCTGGTTCTTCATTAGTAGGTGTTGGGTTACACTTTATATCACGTATTTGGGGTGCTCCCAAAAACATGTATTTCATTAGATTTCCTCGAATTTCAAAAGTGACTTTCTTCAATAGCCTTTTCCAATTTGGCCACTGTGAATGCCAATGTGTTTAGTGACAGTTGACATCAAACCCTGCCAATGTAAACCCTTAGTCTTCATCAATGATTAAATTGCAATGAACAAGCTGCAAAGCTCAGAACACCAGAATATTTAACCAACATGGCTAAAGTACTCCTTTCCAGCCTTATCTTTCTGCAGAAAGCGTCTCGTCTAAACTTAATTTGGTCATGGAAACCTGACGAGGAGTTCTGTCCAGTCGTGCCTGGTGTTCACACAGTTCCCCACACTCACACCTAGAAGCTGAGCAGCGCAAACTCTGTCATGCATTGGTTTTCTAGTGCCTCGCTCAAGGGCTTCTCAGTAGTGATTGCCACAGGATAATGCTTCCTTAAGAAGATGCTCCATCACTATTTGGAGTTAAAACTTGCACCCAGATGACACTACTCGGGTTTATTTGTAAAATGACAAACAGAATGAAGGTAAATCTAATTTCCTTCCATTCACAAACCATATTGACCATGTGGCGTTTATCTTTTCTTATGGGACAAAAATTCTAGTTATGCACAAAGGAGCACAGTTGTTAAACCTCTCGCCCCAAGGGAGAAGAAATCGACCTTTTTTACGTGTCTTTCACCTGCATGCTGCTTCATAATTCACTCTGTAGAGAAAGAGACACGTAACTACACAGGATTGGATGGAACTGATGCCGAGCTGTTCAGGAGCTCCCTGTAGAAACCTGCAGCACACACCTTGGGATTTATTGATTCAACAAGGTCGAGAAAATACTTCAGTCTAGTGTTGATGGGAATATAAGTTATTTGTGAGTGATTGGATTCATTTAAAGTGTCATTTAGAGTGGGGTTACAAGTGGATGAGTAGAATAATACTTTTCTTCAAGTATTCTCAAAGTATACCCTTCTGACATTGGATTTTAACACACTCAAAACAACGTTTATTGGGTTACGGTTAAATATGACTGTTTCCCCTTGGCTAGCTTCTTTGGGAGGGATATCATACTTTAATACTAAACCAATCTCTCTAACAGTTCCTAGCAAGGGTACTTAGCGCTAGTCACTTATCAGACCTTCAGCCTATGGCATTTTACACTGCATGATGCAGCCTAGAGCTAGCCTTACTCACAGCGATAGTAATTGACAGCAGCACTAAGTAAAAACTCTCACGCTTAACGGAAACAAGCAGACATAAATAATAGATAACATATTCAGTATCTTATGTCAAAAGGGGGTCCCGTTTGCAATGGTAGTGGAAACCCTGTAAGAATCATCTTTAGTTTAAGCAACTACATTTCAACAGATTTTATTCAAATCAAATCCATGTTCAAGTGTCACACATGTACACAGCACACAGTGAGATTTGATCCCTGCGTTGAACCCTTCCTAGTATAAGAAGCAGTGGGAAGCTATTCCATATACAGTGCAGGGGAACAGTGTGGGGTTCAGGCGCCTCAGGAGATGAGCAGGCACATCTTAAAGTACCAGTGCAATTTGGTCAAATGTGAGAATAGAACATCTTCGTTCCCAAGCCAAATCCTTCTGAAATGAGCATAACGTTTAAATAAATACAAGACAGTATAACCAGGGCTGCACATAACTGGTGCGCAGGTGCGCATGCGCACCTCCGCCAAAAAAAGAGCACCGGGCCATTTGAAACAAAGCGCATTTGCGTACCAACATTGAGAGAGGGAGAGAGAGAGAGAGAGAAGAGAAAAGAGAAAATAGAGGAGAGAGGAGAGATGAGAGAGAGAGAAGAGAGAGAGAGAGAGAAAGATATTTGCGAGTTGCATATGAACCATGATATGAACTCAGGGCCGGCCCGTAGCGCTGGCTAGATGTTCGCCTAGGGCGCCAGACCTGGGGAGTCGCTGCGCTGGCAGCTCTGGGAGGGAAAAAAACATTTTGACCGTTGGGGCTCATCCTAATTTTCGGCCTTGATGTAACAATATTCATAATTAAGTAAATGTAACACCCTTTTCACCCCGGTTACACGTTTAATTTGCCCTGTACGATGGGCGCTGTAAGTGATGAAAATGGGGGATGTTGGCTTATCTGGCGCCCGCAGTTTACAGCCAAAATGCGAGTGAGCGAGGGAGAGAGGGAGGGTGGTACCAGCGCTGTTGTTATTATAATCTGGTGCCGTGCTAGCTGCTCTAACGGAGATAAGAAGAAGATGTTTCTACAATAATGTGGAGGGAGAGTCCTCTCCAGTCAGACTGAGAGGCTGATAAGTTAACTACAGCTCAGTGAGGTAAAGGACTCTTAGTCTAAATTCAAACGGTTTGGTCACAATTTATGTAAACACATATTTCCAAGGCACTCCTTTGTAATTATTGGGATAAACAGGTTTTAAATCATTCCAATGTATACTATAGGACAGTAACCCAAAATATCCTTTAAAACTGGAGAGATTAAAAAAAAAAGCATAAATAAATGTTAAGGTAAAATAAGATATGAATGAACAACACAAATAAAATAAGTTACATTAATTTGTTATTGGCTATGGTAGGCTATTGGTTATGTTCACATACTTATTTGATTACATCCACTTGTCTAAGATGACAACAGAGACTTTCGACCCAAACCCAGCTGTTGACTTGTGGATGCAAGCATCTAATCGCAGACTCAACCAGAGAGAAAGTAGTAGGCCTACATCATCAGCTACCATGTCTGACAGAGAGGAAGACAGTGAGGAGAACAGTCAGGAGGGTAGTGATGACAGCTTGTAGGATTACTGGTCGTGCTAATGTTGTCTTGTGTTCACCTCTGCATGTGTGTCTTGTGTTCACCTCTGCATGTGTGTCTTGTGTTCACCTCTGCATGTGTGTTCTGTGTTCACCTCTGCATGTGTGTTCTGTGTTCACCTCTGCATGTGTGTTCAGTGCCGTGTGTCTGGCAAATAAAGTCAAGACCCCCTCAAAAGTTACGGTTTATTTCATTTTAAGGATGAGCATCAAGCAACATCTCCAGGTGCTCCTTTGAGAACCAGGGCAAACAAGTTATGTGCACCCCTGAGTATAACCTTCATGAAAGTAGTATTCTTTAAAGGGGTGGCCTGCATCTGTTTTAGCCAGGTATACTGTACATAATATACTGGTAACTGAGTGTGAACTTAAACTACAATTCCTTGTAGGCTTGCACCATCACTGTCAGTCTCGTCAACAGTACATCACCTCACTGAGGCACAATGAGACTGTTCTCTGAGACTGTCTGTACTCTTCACAACATGGACATTATGTTGTTTTATTGCTGTAACAGATATATATTCTGTGTGATAGAGATTGACTGTAATCATAGTTATAAAGTGATCATCACACAGGGTATTACTCTAATTGAATGGCAGCAAGTGAAAAACAGATGCAGTGCAGATGTTTTTACGGTTTATGGATATGATGTAAAGCCATAAGCCTGCAATTTGTATTGTATTGTAATTATAGTGTGATTGGTTAAGCACATCATGGTACATCAGGGAGCTGTTACTGGATCCTGTATTGGAGTAAACAACCTGGTCTCTTTTCTTCATGACTTTGCCACTCCTGTTACTTTATAATGTCATATTTAACCTCCAGCTAATTTTATAATTTATAGAAAGAGAGGTGAACCTTCACAGTCTTAGTCCTCAAACATGATGTCTTGGTCACTAAGCAACCCGGTATAAATGTTACTTTATATGACTGAATTGTTATATACTCAAATAAAAAAATGAAGCCCCAACAGCATCTACTGTGTGTTTAGTGTTGGTACAGCTTGTTCTTCAAACAGCTGTTGGCCGTGACACACTGATTCATGTACCTATTGTTTTATTTGTAAATCACTGGATGTCAAAGCTTGTACAGTCTAATTTGAACTCCAGTTTCACTTCACAACACTGACAAGAACATGGTACAGCAACACTTCATCAAGATCCAGGTTCATTTGAGTTATTGCTCATTTGCATACAAAAGTAAAAAATGGATGCGAAAAGAAGTTACCAAGGAGATAAAACACAAATGATACAGACAGCGTGTGTTTGTGCAAGCTCAATTTAGAGAAAGGGTTTGCTGTTGTTATAGGTATAGTAGGCCAGTGGAGATGCACAGATATGAAATGCTGTAGAAAATGGAATTGTCAGTGTTCTTTACTATAATATAGTATGCAATCAGCTTGATATGTATAGATCTGAATGGGTGTACAGTAGGAATGGTAAATGGACTGTACTTATATAGCGCTTTATTCA